ATTTCTGAAGAAGGGTCTCGGCCCGAAATGTCAGCCTTCCTGCTCCTCTGATGCTGCTTGGCCTGTGTTCATCCAGCTCTACACCTTGTATATCTCAGATTCTCCAGCATCTGCAGTTCCTACTATCTCTGAAACTGCCCAGGAACACGGTCCAAAAACCCAGTTCACACTCTCCACGCCCTCCTTCTGTTTGACCATCATCTCCCAGACTTGCTGGTACCAATTGTCAGGTACTAAACTCATTAGTGGTCAAACATCTTTTATCTGGTTAAACATTCTGCTTTCCCTGGTTTCTAAGCATCTGTGAACCAATTTGATTAAGAAACAACCTACAATTAACTTTCAGGCCTGGCTTCACAAACAACAGCTTGTTTGTCCCTTTTTTTAAAACACAACTTGCTTCCTGCAGTCCAAAGCCACTGTTCACATTGCCAAGCCAAATTTGAAAAGACTAAAGTAAAAGCAATGAAAAACATCAGTGAGCATTCTAAGACCTACAGGTCTAAGAAAACAGCCAATGCACTCATCTTGCCAATCATAAGCTGCTTTCAAGAAATGAGGAAAATAAAGGAAACCTGTAATATTAACAATGGGGTTATGTAGCCACATGACTGGACTAGACAACAAACACTTTTCAGCAGAGCTAGAAAATTCAGTTTGGCAAGGTAGCAGCACAATTCAGGTTTATCAGATTTCTGAATTTTCCAGGGTGTAAATGAGCGGAACCCATATACCTAATAGAATGAAGTACGATTTGCCAACTATCCAGACTGAGCATAACCAGGCACAAATAGTCTTTCACCTCAACGTCCAATTTTCTGGAAGTTGTCATGATGCAATGATACAGTTACTAATGTGATTGGGGCTGATGTAGTCCAGTTTTATCAGAGAAGTAGGCCCCATATAGCGTTGAATGGTTGGAAGTAACAGCTCCATGTTGATCTGATGCAACACAGGAAGGCTCACAGTAAAGCATACAACACAAGTCTTCGGTACTCAAAAGATCAGGCCAACAATGTCATGTTATCAATCCTCTTCAGGGCTTTCGGTTTCGACATGAATGAACTAAGATTCTGAAGGAACCAAACACAGTTTTTCTGATGAAGGGTCTAGACCCTTCCTGCTCCTATGATGCTGCTTGGCCTGCTGTGTTCATCCAGCTCTACACCTTGTTATCTCAGATTCTCCAGCATCTGCAGTTCCTACTACCTCAAACACATTATCCAGATTTCTTTAACTTTTAATGGAAGTAATCAACTAGCTCCTATTCCTTCTTTGCCACTTACATTCAAAATGAGTTGCCAGCTTCAGAGATAATTTCTGTTCAGTATTATATTAAACAGGACTGCCAACAAAGCTCCAACCTGACTGAAATCACGACAACATAAAAACATATCTTAAGAGAATTCAGTACTTTGTCATCTGGCATTCATAAGTAATGAGTAGAAACCACTTCTAGTTAAGATCTAAAAGGAATTCTTAGATTACTTTCAACCCGATTAATAAGACCAAAACAAAGTTTTCCTAAATAAAGAGACTACAGGTCAGCTAAATGTCAATTTCTGGAGGGTTTCTCTCTGAGAGCTCTAACATGTTATTTCATACAATTTTCGGTAGATTTCTTCATTATGTATGCAACTTGCCTCTAAAGTGCCCGGCTCGTGTTATTGTGTCCTTACCAGAAAAGAAAGAACTACTTTTCACAGCCGGGACTTCCTGCGGTTCCTACCCTGATGGCATTTCTGAAATGCAGCTGTCCACCAGGTCAAGTGCTGTTAGTTAGGAGCTGCCCTTCACTGTTCCTATGTGTGAAGAATTGCCCCAGAGTTTGTTCAGGAAGTGAAGGTGCTACCCCACTTCACTAACAGGGTCATGGAGGTCCTAGTGGTTGGGGTGGTGAACGGAGGTGGAATTCTTTCTTCTGCACCACCAAAGGAGATCATGATACCAGAGATTGCGAGCCTAGTCCAAATTCGCCACTATGTCAATGTAATATCCATGGTGTGGAGAAATGCCCATCAGTGCAGGAAGATTAGTGACTTTCTGTGATCCATGAGGGTCAGTGCCTCCATGTTCTCTCTGCCACCTTGCACTCACTCAACTCAAACTCATGGTCTACCAGTTTCATTACTGCATGCAACATCCTCCCTCAATGGCTCTCACCCACCCTTGGGTGATGTCCAAATTGGAAACCCAGAGGAGCAAATGTCTAACTGGAGCTGCCAGGTTCCTGCACTGACTTTCATGTAGGGTATTGTCATCATCTAGTTCCTACCCAGAATAGCAAGCTGCAAATCAATGAGGTGAGATTAGGTACTAATGTGTTATAAACGCATGCATATAGGCTTCTCACCACTCACTGTTCAAAAGTTAGTTCGCTAAATGTATGACAAAACAATTGACTGACTTTAGGGGTAATACAGAAGATATGGCGAACAAGGCGTACTGGGGATAACGTTGTAGTTGTTGAGAATCATGAATATTAGTTTCAAATACAGAATCATTGCTGAAGCATTATGCATCCTCATTGTACCATTACCCAGCTAAGGCACAATTTCCAATGCCAGTAGCTACACTAATAGATCACTATAGACCACTTGATTCAGTTCCTACGGTTTTTAAAATTAGTTCTCCATTCCATTTCTTCAGGAGATATTACAATCACCAAGCCAGAAAGGCATGATTTAGAAAGTTGAATTTTATGCCATTCATATCATCAAGTTACCTGCCAATATTGTGCACATTTAAAAATGAAATGCATTGAAAAAACAAGAAGCAAAACTGGTAGCAAACAACTCCTAAATGGAGATCCAGAGATACAGATAATACAATGTGAATACTTTGTATCTCAACAGTTATGCGTGTGAACAACACTGCAGAAAAAAATTACTTTTCAAATCTGTGTTGAGTGTATAGTGAAAACCAGAACTATACATCATTGACAACTCTCTCCCCTCTCCCATTGCATCAAAAATAACAATGCAGCTGTTCTGGTAGTGAAGTGCATTGAATGCGTAATATAATTTTAGGATGACTACAAAACCACTGACTCCCAAAACTACTTTCACTACAGCTCTTCACACCCACATCCTGCAAGGATTCCATCCCATTCTCCCATTGCCTTCACCTTCATCGTTTCTATTTGGATGATGTCACCTTTCAAAACAGGGATGATGTCACCTTTCAAAACAGGGATGCTGATATGGCTTCCTTCTTCCATGACCATGGCTTCCCACCCACTGTGGTTGACAGGGTCCTCAACCTCATCCAACCTATCACCTATGCTTCTGCCTTTGCTCCTTCCCATCACTCACAATAGCGTGATCAGGTGTCCTTCCCCTCACTTTCATCCCACCAGACTCTGCATTCAAAGAATCATTCTCCACCATTTCAGGAAACTCCAGCAGAATGCTACCACCAAACACATTTTCCCCTCACTCCCTTGTTTGCATTTTGCAGGGACTATTCCCTCCGGGATAGCCCTCGTCCATTCCCTGATCACCAATACCAACCCACCTTCCCATGGCACCTTTCCACAGAAGGTGCAACACCTACCCCTTCATCTCCTCCCTGCTCACCATCCAAGGACCTAAACAGTTCTTCCAGGTGAAGCAGCATTTCACCTGTACGTTCTCCAATCTTGTGTATTGTATACGCTGCACCCAATGTGGCCTACTCTACATTGGAGAAACCAAACGTAGACTGGCTGACTGTTTTGCAGAACACCTCCAGTCTGTACGCACGCATGACCCAGACCTTCCTTTAGCCGGACAATTTCACACAGCATCCTGCTCACGTGCCCACTTGTCTGTCCTTCGCATGCTGCAATGCTCCAGTGAATCACAGCGAAAACTACAGGAGCAACATCTCATCCTCAAACTAGGCACTTTACAACCTTCTGGGCTCAATATCGAGATGAACACCTTCAGTTTGCAAAACCACTCTCATTCCTTCCCTTTCTTTTCAGCTTTACTTGTTACATTCTCAATCACCATCTCCTCTCTCCCCTCCCTCCACCCCAGTGGGACTTTCTGTTCTTTCTTGTCTGGCTGTTAGACACACCATTGTTCTGCCATTCTCACATTCTGATCACTTAATCTGAACTATCAACATCCTTTCTCCCCCAGCACTCCACCATTTCCCCAGCATCCCCACTATTGCATAAATGCTGCCTCCTCCACACTTCACTTCAGCTCTGATGAAGAGTCATCTAGCCTCAAAATGTCAGCTTGGTTTCTCTCCATGCATGCTGCCTGACCCACTGTAATCTCCAGTATTTTTTGTTTTCAGCACTCTTACGGATTTTTTTTTCAATTGTTCTGATTGGCAAAGGTGATGATAAAAGGCATATATTACACTGCAGAGAAGATGACCAAACTTAGGAAGCGAAATGGCTCCCAAAATCTTTTGCGGCACTTTTAGTGACCAAGAGTAGAATCAGCAGAAGAAACAAGGTCTTTCTGCCTGCAGTTGCTGAGTAGCTGAGGGGACTCAGGTCTTCACAAAAATTGAAAGTAAACATGCTAAAAAGCAGTCACAGATTGACATGTAGGGCCCAGCTGCAGAACCTACAGAGATAACTGCATGCTGAATGGATGACTGCAGAATTTCAATGCCATCCACTAGAACACTACACCATCTGGGAATAAACTCCTCCATATGCTGCAGAAGCTCTGTGGTAATGACACACAGAAATCATCATTCTGCTGAATCCCTGAAGTCTGCATCTCTGTCCTCTTCAGCAGAGCCAGGAAATACACTGGCACCCTTCCACCCCTAATGTACTGTTTCTCAGGCTAACCTATTGCTTCTTGCATTTGCTTGGTGAATTACCTTGTACAGCGCCCTCTAACTCACCATATACAATACACGGGGTTACCAATACTGTGCTGGTGCCTGAAAGGATGAAAGCAAATGATGGTGTATCTTCAGAAGGATTCGCCTCCTCCTGTCTGCCACAGCCTGAACTGACATTGCTGAAGGACCTAGAAAGAAGGGAGAGGGACCAGAGTTAGCCTACAAAAGTAATGGGTAAAGGATGGCTGCACTACGCATCAGTAGAATGTCATGCTGTGTGAATAGAAAGTTCAGTTGAGCAAGGAAAATTTACTCAAACACACTGCTTGCATCATGGCAGGACCTCTTCTTAAACTTGTATACTCCCTGCGTGTATGTTTTCCCTTCAAGAAGAGTGGAAATGGTGAACATGTATCTTTTGACTTTGTTGGGCAGTTTAGCATCTAGTTGTGCAAGCAGAAACGGAAGGAAATATAAATATTGTGTCTGCAGGAGCAAGGATAATGAAAGCTTATGTGAAATGTGAAAGAGATGTGAAGTGGTGGACATCTTAGTTACATTTCCTGCACTGCAGCCTGGCCTTGAAGACCATACTCATGTCATTCACATATTCTGCCAACTCAGTCCATTGCTCCTGAGGTAGTTGCCTGGATATCTGGCTAGCACCACTGAGGATTTGGATCCTACATACTATTCACTTGCTTCATGAAATCCTCTGTGGCACCATCTGAAAACCTGGCTACCAAGATAGTAGGAACTGCAGATGCTGGAGAATCTGAGATAACAAGGTGTAGAGCTGGATGAACACAGCAGGCCAAACAGCATCACAGGAGCAGGAAGGCTGACGTTTCGGGCCTAGACCCTTCTTCAGAAATTGCTACTTTTGGCTTAGTACCTTGGCTACTACAATCTTGCAGTAAACATCTTCAAATAATTACCATGTGAAAAGTGCCTGAAATAGCATCTGTCATACAGGATTCCCCAACATACAAATTAGAGATTCTCCTATAGGAAGCATGATTAACATTTTCCAGAAACCCTCAACTTTATGAATGCTCATCGCAAACATAGGCATCTGGCCGATGACATCTGGCATGGATCATGATGCCTTGCTTATCCAATGCACAAAACATTTAAAAAACAATGTAATGTCATCTGGTACAAGGGCTCCTCAGGAAAAGAATCCTTTAGCACCTGGTCCTTGCTCTCAGACTGTATCTACGAAAATTAATAGTTTAAGTGTTTTATTTTTCAACTTGCTAAACTGTGTTTGCAATGCCATTGGAATTGTTCATGTCAGGCACATAAATAACAGTAGAACTTATTTGAGTTACAGGTCATATGCAATGATGCACTGAAACACAACACCAGGATCTAGGCTTATCTCAAATTAATCCTTCAGGTTTATTGATATTATTTAATTTACACCATATCTGTAGTTTCTTCTCCATAACATCCTTTTGAAACCTCCATGTTGTCTCACCTTATAACCTTATATACCTCACCTTATATGTCTCGCATTGACGATATTTAAATATAAACTACCAAACAATCTTAAAACAGAATTAGCTTATCTAATAAAAAATTAAAGCCGAATTTCCAATTAATTTACACGTCAGGAGATATATCCTTCAGCACATCATAAAAATTTATTAAAAGTAAAGTTCTTTCGGGCTGCATTTGCTGACACCAGTGCATGCACCACTGAAATTCGTGCGTACATATTTAAATGAATTCAGGGGCTGGGACCTGGGAGGGGGCCTTGGATAACTGATCGAGCTGGTCAGGTCCTAAAGGACAGAGCTGTGAAACTGGGTCTGCGGCGTGTGGTGAGGGAACCAACAAGAGGGAAAAGCATATTTGACCTCAACCTTACCAATTTGCCAGCTGCAGATTCATCTGTCCATGACTGTATCACTAAGAGTGACCACCACACAATCCTTGTGGAGGCGAAATCCCACGTTCACATTGTGTGATATTATTACTGTACTAAATGGAACAGACTTTGAACAAATCTAGTAACTTTAGACTGTGAATCCGTAAGGCAGTGTGGGCCATCAACAGCGGCAGAATTGTACTCCATCATAATCCACAACTTTACAAACTGGCATATCGCCGGGTCTATCATTACTATCAAGCCAGGGGATCAACCCTGGTTCAATGAAGAGTGCAGGAGGACATGCAAGGAACAGCATCAGGCATACCTGAAAATGAGGTATCAACCTGGAGAAGCTACTACACAGGACTACTCGCATGCCAAGCATCATATTGCAGCAACTGGCAGACAGAACTAAGCAATCCCACAGCAACAGATCAGATTTAAGCTCTGCCATCCTGCCATATCCAATCTTGAATGATGGTGGACAATTAAACAACCCACTGGAGGAGGAGGCTACACAAATATCCCCATCCTCAATGATGGAAGAGCCCCAACACATTAGTGCAAAAGAAAAGGCTAAAGCATCTTCAGCCAGAAGTGCTGAATGGATTATGCATTTCAGCCTCTTCTGTGGTCCCCTGTATCTACCTTACAATGTGGACAATTGCCCAAGTATGTTGTGTAATAAAAAGGAGGACAAATCCAAACCAGCCAATTACTGGCCCAACAGTCTACTCTCAATCATCAGTAAAGTGATGGAAGGTGTCATCAATAATCCTATCAAGCGGCACCTGCTCAGTGACACACGGTTTGAGTTCTGCCAGGGCCATTCAGCTCCTGGCCTCGTAAGAACATAAGAACTAGGAGCACGAGTAGGCCATCTGGCCCCTCGAGCCTGCCCCGCCATTTAATAAGATCATGGCTGATCTTTTTGAGACTCAGCTCCACTTACCCGTCCACACACCATAACTCTTAATTCCTTTACTGTTCAAAAATTTATCTAGCCTTGCCTTAAACACATTCAGCGAGGTAGCTTCAACCGCTTCACTGGGCAGGGAGTTCCACAGATTCACAACCCTTTGGGTGAAGAAGTTCCTCCTGACCTCAGTCCTACATCTGCTTCCCTTTATTTTGAGGCTACGCCCCCTAGTCCTAGTTTCACCTGCTAGCGGAAACAACCTCCCTGCCTCCACCTTATCTATTCCCTTCATAATCTTATATGTTTCTATACGATCTCCCCTCATTCTTCTGAATTCCAGTGAGTACAATCCCAGCCTACTCAGTCTCTCCTCATAATCCAACCCTCTCAACTCTGGAATCAACCGAGTGAATCTCCTCTGCACCCCGTTCAGTGCCTGTATATCCCTTCTCAAGTAAGGAGACCAAAACTGCAGGCAGTACTCCAGGTGTGGCCTCACCAGGACCCTATACAGCTGCAGCATAGCCTCCCTGTTTTTAAACTCCATCCCTCTAGCAATGACAGACAAAATTCCATTTGTCTTTTTAATTACCTGCTGCACCTGCAATCCTACTTTTAGCGATTCATGCACAAGGACACCCAAGTCCCTCTGCACAGCAGCGTGTTGCAAGTTTTTACCATTTAAAACACAGTCCAATTTGCTGTTATTCCTACCAAAATGGATGACCTCACACTTATCAACATTGTACTCCATTTGCCAGACCTTTGCCCACTCACTTAGACTATCTATATCCCTCTGCAGACTTTCAGTGTCCTCTGCACACTTTGCTCTACCACTCATCTTAGTGTCATCTGCAAATTTTGACACATCACACTTAGTCCCCAATTCCAAATCATCTATGTAAATTGTAAACAATTGTGGTCCCAACACTGATCCCTGAGGCACACCACTAGCCACTGACCGCCAACCAGAAAAACACCCATTTACCCCTACTCTTTGTTTTCTACTAGTCAACCAATCCTCTATCCATGCCAATACATTACCTGTCATACCATGCAACTTTATCTGATGTAGCAGCCTTTGGTGTGGCACCTTGTCAAATGCCTTCTGAAAATCCAGATACACCACATCCACAGGTTCCCAATTGTCCACCATCCAAGTAATGTCCTCAAAGAATTCCACCAAATTAGTTAAACATGACCTACCCTTCATGAACCCATGCTGGGTGTTCCCAATGGGACAATTTATATCCAGATGTCTTGCTATTTCTTCCTTAATGATAGATTCAAGCATTTTCCCCACTACCGAAGTTAAGCTAATTGGCCTATAGTTACCTGCTTTTTGTCTACTTCCTTTTTTAAACAATGACGTCACATTGGCTGTTTTCCAATCTGTGGGAACCACCCCAGAGTCCAGTGAATTTTGGTAAATAATTACTCGTGCATTTGCTATTTCCCCCATCACCTCTTTTAGTACATTAGGCTCTTGCCATAGTACACTTGCCATAGGCTCATTACAGCCTTGGTTCTAACATGGGCAAAAGAGCTGAATTCCACAAGTGAGGTGCGAGTGACAGTTCTTTACATCAAAGCCACATTTGACCAAGTGTGGCATCAAAGAGTCCTGGCATAACTGGAATCAATGGGGATCAGGCGGTAAACTCTCCACTGGTTGTAGTCATACCTCGCACATAGGAAGACGGTTATGGTTGCTGGAGGTCAGTGATTTTGGCTCCAGGACATCTCTGCAAGAGTCCCTCAGGATAGTGTCCTAGATCCAAACATCTTCAGCTGCTTCATCAATGACCTTCTCTCCATCATAAGGTCAGAAATGGGGATGTTCGCCAATGACTGCACAATGTTCAGCACCATTCGTGACTCCTCAGGTACTGAAGCAATCCATGTTCAAATGCAACCAGATCTGGACAATATCCAGGCTTTGGTTGACAAGTAATATGCAGGCCACACATATGCCAAGCAATGACCATCTCCAATAAAAGTCAATCTAATCACCACTCCTTGACATTCAATGGCAAATTCCTCACCATCAACATCCTTGGAGTTACCACTGACCAGAAACTCCACTGGACTCATCCACATAAACACATTGGCTATAAGAACAGGTCAGACATTAGCAATACTGCAGTGAGTGACTCACCTCCTGACTCCCCAAAGCCTGTCCACAATCTACAAGGTAAAAGTCAGGAATGTGATGGATACTCCCCACTTGTCTGAATGGGTGCAGCTCCAACAACAGTGAAGAAAGTTTTCTAAGATTACAAAGGAAACTTGATTAAATGGGTCAATGAGCTGAAAAATGGCAGATAGAGTTCAATCAGGATAAGTGTGAGGTATTGCATTTCGGTACAACTAACGAGAGTAGGGCTTATATAATTAATGATGGGGCCTTGGGTAGTGTTGTAGAACATAGGGGTGCAGGTACATATTTCTTTGAAGTTTGCATCACATAAAGGCAGGGTGGTTAAAAGGGCATTTGGTACACTTGCCATCATTGCTCAGTCTTTTGAGTATAGGAGTTTGGAAGTCATGTTGAAGTTGTACAGGACGTTGATGCGGCCCGTTCTGGAATACTGTGTCCATTTCTGGTTGCCCAGTTATAGGAAGGATATTGTTAAACTGGAGAGGGTTCAGAAGAGATATACCAGGATGTTGCCGGGTATGAAAGGTTTGGGTTATAAAGAAAGGCTGGATAGGCTGGGATGTTTTTCACTGGAGCGTAGGAGGTTGAGAGGCGACCTTATAGAGGTTTATAAAATAATGAGGGGTATAGATAGAATTAATGGTAGCCATCTTTTCCCTAGGATGGGGGTTTCAAAACTAAGGGGCACATTTTTAAGGTGAGAGAAGAGAGATTTAAAAAAGACATGAGGGGCAAATTTTTAACAGAGTGTGGTTCATGTGTGGAATGAACTTCCTGAGGATGTGGTAGATGTGGGTACAGTTGCAATGTTTAAAATATATGGGCCATGAAAAGGCAGGCGGGACTGGTTTAGCTTGAGATTATGGTTGGCATGGACTGATTGAACCGAAGGGTCTTTTTCAGTGCTGTATGACTCTAAGATAGACACCATCCAGGACAAAACAGCCTGCTTGATTGGCACCACATCCAGAAACATCCACTCTCTCCACCACCAATTGTCAGTAATAGCAACATATACCATCTAGAAGATGCACCGCAGAAAATCACCAAAGATCCTTAGACAGCGCCTTCCAAACCAACTACAGCTTCCATATAGAAGGACAAGGACAGCAGATACATAGGACCATCTGAAAGTTCCCCTCCAAGTCACTCACCATCCTGACTTGGAAATACATCACCATTCCTTCACTGTTGCTGGGTCAAAATCCTAGAATTCCCTCCTGAATGGGATTGTGGGTCAACCCACTAGACATGGATTACAATGGTTCAAGAAGGCTCACCACCATCTTCTCAAGGGCAACGAGGGATGGGCAATAAATGCTGGCCGGCCAACAACACCCATTCCCCACAAATTAATTTAAAAAAATTAAAATAACAGGCATCAAGTAAATTTGCAACAATCAACTTATTGCTTTTTTTTAAATGTATGGTCTCTAGTGTGCCAACAGGGAAATAATCTTGAAATGCTGGGAAATGGAGAAAGACTTATTTAGCAAAAGGAAAAAATTAATAATGATTTTGAAATTGAGTAAATCTAATCAATATTATGTAGCATTAAAGTAGCTATACGTACATAGAACAGACTAACACAGCCATTCTCTTGATAATTGCTCCCCGCCTTTGATTAAGGCTTTCTTCTACAGTTCTCAGGGATTGTATTCCAAATCTTTATTTGTACTGGATGGTCCAAGCTTGTCAAAAAAGGAGATTAGGCTCATCCATAACAGTCTAGGCTTATCAGACAAATAAACATATGATTGGCTAATTAATTTGAACCATGAAACAAGCTTCAACTACAGTTTGTTCTGTAGGGTTCCCAGAGAGACAAATCAACTTTCTATCAACTGAAATGTTCAATATTCAGGGACTTCTCAAACAGACACTACTCAATTAACTTTTCCCCTTGTGGCTATGAGCATAAAGTTGAAACAAATTAGCTA